TTCTACTCCGGACATAACCCATGAAGATCAACTTTCTTTAATTGTGCGATTTGTTCAAGATAATGCAGAACCAGTTGAACGTTTCCTTTGCTTTCTGCCAAATACTGGTCACAAAGCAGAAGACATGTTGCAAGCCATTTTAAGACTTTTGACAAACTGAATATCGATATTGCCAATTGTAGAGGTCAGTCTTATGATAATGCAAGCAACATGTCGGGGCAGTATAACGGCCTGCAGGCAAAGATTAAAGAAAAATGCCAATATGCAACATATATACCTTGCGCCGCACATTCCTTAAATTTGATCGGATCCTCAGCAGCTGAGTGTTGCCCAGAAGCTACAAAGTTTTTTGGAGTATTGCAAAATCTGTACGTATTTTTTACAGGATCAACGGAACGTACAAAAATATTGCAAACATTTTTAACGGAACCTGAAAATGTAACCGTTAAAAGTTTGTCACATACGCGGTGGTCGGCAAGAGATGATGCTTGCTCGAGCCTGAATAAAAATTGGGAACAAATAATTAAAGCTCTGGAAGCAATAAAAAGTAACTCTTTCGCAACAAAAAGCCTTAATCAAAAATGAAGCTACAGGTTTATTGGCTCAACTGAATTCCTTAGAAACAGCGATATTATCGGAATTCTGGGGATCACTCCTAAAACAATTTAATACCGTTTCTAAAGTTTTGCAAGGTGTGGCCACAAACGTTGAGGTAGTCTCCAACCTTTACGATTCCCTGATTACTTTTGTGAAAAATCAACGCGAATTATTCGATGCATTTGAAAAAGCTGGAAAAGAAAAGTGTACTGAAGATTACAAAGATAGCCGGAAAAGGATAACAAAAAGAAAAAAACGAGACGATGAGCAACGCGAAGGAGAAGTAATTTTACAAGGACGGGACTATTTTAAAGTGAATACTTTTTTGCCAATATGCGACCAACTGTTGGGCGAGTTAAGGAGGCGTAAAACATCCTATGACGCTGTAACCGCCAAATTTGTATTTCTATCCAATTTAAGTGCACTATCTGAGGCGGAAATTAAATTGAACGCATTATCACTCCAAAAGTCTTATCCTACTGATCTTGCGGATGATTTAAAGGATGAATGCATACCATTAAAGAATTTTTTGCCGTCCCAGGGACAAGAAACTAAAACAAGTTTACGCGAACTAAACTTATTAATTAATAAAAAGGATCTGAAAGTAGCGTTTCCTTACATTGAAATTGCGTTGCGCTTTGTACTGTAGTAACGAATTGTAGTGCAGAACGCTCATTTTCGGTACTCAAACTGATAAAAAACTATTTAAGATCGCGACTTATCGAAGAACGGCTTAATAATTTGGCAATTTTGAACATCGAAGCCGATTTAACAAATAAAATTGATTATGACGATGTAATAAACGAATTTGTTAAAAATTTTGTCCACAGAAAAAAAATGTAAAATATAAAATCGATAATTTTTTTTTTTGTTTCCTTTCATTCCTTGATGGAGCGGAAAGCTACAGGAGCCCGGAGCGCGCAATCTTAAAATACGCCTCTGTTCTTTATAATCCTGATGCAATTTTAAACATTTTCTCAAAATTTGTTTGCAAATATGAACAGCCTTTTCTGCCATGCTTTTACTTCTAGGATACCTTGGAGTCGATGTTAACGTAATGGTTTTCCTGTTGAATTTATAGCCGACAATATGCCCTTTTCGTCACATGAATGTTTTTTTAACATATTATAAAAGTATATACTCTAATAACATCGACTCCAAGGTATCCTATACTATGCATATAACTGAACTTGATTTTTTGTTTTGCATTGGCAGTAACTCAATCCAATGTGAATGGTAATCAATTATAACTAGAAATATCTTATCTTATAGTTCTAAAATATCACAACCAACTTTCAAATATCTTTCTTTAGGCACACTAAGAGGTAAAAGATTTTCTTTATAGTTGTTGTGTCATTTAGACACATATTCTTAAATGTCATTCTTCATGTTATGCCAGTAAAATATCTGTTCAGCATTAGAGTAACATTTACTTATTCCGTGATGACAAGACAACGATTAATTAATGAATTTGGAACTATAATCTTATTTTCTAAAAATAGTAATCCTTCCTGATAATAAATCTCAGCTTTAAATCATTGATATTGTTTTAATTCAGAGGTTAGTTTCAATGGCCAACCATGCAAATAACAGTCTATTAATTTACATAATAAAGTATCATTCCAAGTTTCATTTCTAAACATAGTTTTTATGTCAGTCGACATTGGTAAATATTTTAAGATAGTATGAATCATTTAACTCATTTCAAGATCATGTTCAGTGACATTGATGCTATTTCTGGATAACATATCGGCAAACTGCACATATTTGCCAGGTACATAATAAACATTTAATGTATACATGAGTCATTTTAATCTCAATCTCTTCAGCTTAGGGTAACCTATATTGTTTATATGTTTATTCATAATTGCAATTATCGGCTTATGTTTGTATATTTATTATTAGTCCACAAATGAATTTGTGAATTTTATTTACACCAAAACAAATGGCCAATAATTCTTTTTCTGTCGGTCCATAATTAATTTCTGAATCATTCATTTTTTTCCTTTCCGTTTATAAGTTAATTCATCTAATGTGGTCATTACTTTAGGCTTTTTTACAATATATTTATTTAAATCTACAGAATCTAAACATAAATGAATCTTTTTATTTGCCCTTTCAACCAAAACTAACCGATTGATACAAGCTTTTGGATCAACTTTGTCAATTTTAATGATAGAATTTATTTTCTCATTTTTTAAAGTTTCTCTAAGACAAACACAAAAGCAGAGAGAGAAGTGAGAAAAAATATAGAAAAATAACTATCATAAGGGTCGTTCATAGAGTGGATGACCAAAAAATTGTTATCTTGAGCTCGTCCGTGCTTCGGAATGCAAGATAAGCATCAGTAGTCATTAACACCCACATTAACAATTCGCATTGGGCCCGCGTAGTGCGTTATGGACCATTGATCCTACTCGATCCGATAGGAAAGAAACAATTCTCCTGATATACTTACCCACGCAGTCGCGGGCACAGCTAGTACATAACATGTCGTGAGTACTTAACGTAAGTTCCTCTAATTTAGACACGTTATTATATCTTCATGCATAATTTTAGTTTTAGAAATTAGTTCCCGCCTTCTTGATGTTCGCATTTTTTTTTTTGTGACAATGTATGATGGAATACGACTTAGCGCTACACTAGAATGTGCAGCAGATTTTAGGTAAGCTTAGATCATTTATTTGCATTTAACAAATTGAATGCAAAATTGATAAATATTAATTATATAATAAAAACAATATCTGTACTAATACGAGGGTCAAACTGAAAGTTCTTAGAACTGGCCACTTATAAACAATATAATAAAAAAATAATTCTAAAATTTGAAAATATAACTCTTTGCCAATATTACTGAGTATATATTTCATTCATTTGTCATTTGTTTTACGATTTGGCGGCAAATTGAAAATTGTCTGTGTCACGTCATCATGAATTTAACACGAGAAAATTTTCGTGCAATGATTTTTTATGACTTTCGATGTCATTTAAGTCAACAAGAAAGTTATGATAGACTACGATTGGCCTTTCACGATGAAGCCCCATCTCGTGCGACTGTTTACAACTGGTTTAATGAGTTTAAACGTGGTCGCACTAATCTCACTGATGATTTACGTGAGGGACGGCCTTCTACGGCGACGACTGAAGATAACATCTGTGTTGTGCGGCGTATGATAGAGACTGACAAAAGAGTGACCTATCAACAGATTCGGACAAGCTTAGGCATCGGTATGAGTCAAGTGCACAAAATCCTCCACGAACATTTAGCGGTCAGGAAGCTTTGCGCCCAGTGGATACCTCATAATTTGACTGAGGCTCAAAAACTCCATCGTGTGGATTGGTGTCGTAAAATGATTGAAAGATTTAACGGAGGTGACTCAAATGCTGTGTTCGACATACTAACAGGTGACGAAAGCTGGATTTACTGTTATGATCCTAAAACCAAAAGACAATCTGCTCAGTGGGTGTTTCCTTTCGAGGAGTTGCCAACTAAAGTGAAGAGAGATCGAAGTGCGGGAAAAAAAATGGTGGCCTCGTTCTTTGGAAGGATAGGTCATTTTGCAACAATTGTGTTAGAGGATCAAAAAACAGTTTCTGCAGAATGGTACACTACCAATTGTTTGCCACTTGTCTTGGAAAAAGTTCGAGAGAAACGACCTCGCAGTAGGATCCTCCTTCACCACGACAACGCCTCGTCGCACACCGCCAAGCGAACGATCGACTATTTGGCGACATCAAACGTTGAATTACTGGGTCACCCGCCGTATAGCCCCGACCTCGCGCCTTGTGTTTTTATTTATTTCCAAAAATTAAAGAAAAACTTAAAGGAAAGCGGTTTATGAATGCTGAAGAAGCGGTGGCTGCGTATCGCGATGCCATTGAAGAGACCCCTAAGGACGAGTGGGCAAAGTGCTTTTCCCAGTGGTTCCATCGCATGCAGCGGTGTATTGACGTGAATGGACAATATTTTGAAAAGATATAATAAAACTAATAACTGGCGAATGTAATCAGTTTTTGATTTTCTAAGAACTTTCAGTTTGACCCTCGTATTGTATAGGTTAAGAGGAAAGATTTTTTGTTTTCTTAGTTAGTGTTGTAACAATGTCACATCAGTAAGTATTAGAAGGATGTAGCCATAGAGGAGTATCTAATAAAGAAATATATATTACAAATAGATCTCCTTGAATTCACTTTTCTCCAGCCATAATCGTCAAAAGTTAGCAACAAATTGGCTCCAAAACTACAGGACCTATTTAAAAAATCCTTCCACATACGGGAAATTACTCGAAACATTGGCAGGCTATACTTTACCAGGGCGAAGTAGCGGGAGAACCGCTAATCTTTAACTTAATGCGATATTTTGCGAAATACAAATTGAAGGTTTCAAAATAAAAATCAATACGAATCCAAAGTTCGATTTTTAATTATGTCTCCATAGACTCAGATTTGTTAAGGCAATTGGGCGTCAATCAAACAAACTACCTTGTTTAATTGTCTGAAATAATAATCTATCGGTATCCTTTTCAAAGGTGTAGCGATTGTGATAGTTTGAACTCGTAATCGGTTTCAGAACGAATAATTTGAATGATCAAAAAATGTGTGTCTAACGCTTGGCTTAGACAATTCAAATTAAAGATATCGTTCATTCATATCGTTCTTTCAAAGAAACATCGCGGTCGTTGATATGATGAGGCTAGCGAGAAATTTGCGAATGACTTTCAAATGTCAAATTGAAAGGGAATACGATAGATTATAATATTAGTAAATTAAGCTTGACAGCTCTTTCACCAAGCAGACACGTGGGTAGAAATGTTACAGAGACTTTGTTTCTTTTGCTTCTACTTCCTCGTCGTTTATTTCCAACACATCTTTGTTTTTTCGCGCAGACTTCTTGTATGTAGACGAGTAGAAATTGGTGAACATGATGAAGTACAGGATAGTGGAATAAACTGCGTACACGATTGTTATTACTGTGTACTCACATTTCGTGCGCAACAGACTATACAACTGATGAAGTAATACAGTTATAAACTGGATCTGGAATAGAATATGTTATAATTTTAAGCATTGTTAAGCTAAAGATCGAAAAGATTAACGTTGGTAAGTAATTGATCTGGATGACCCTTATGATAAGCTAGGTCGTGTCATAAGTTGAATGACAAAAATTCACTATAAATATTAGAAATCACATACATTGCTCAGATTCTAAGATGACTAGCTAAAGCCCTCGTATTATAGAGTATCTGAGACAACAACACACAGACCCAATACAATATCGAAAAGTACATTTTCTACATTAACCCGATTGGAAATCGACCTCAGAGATGGCGAAACCGGCGTGCGAACGAACGGGTAGCCAAGTGAAGGTTGGGTCAGGAGAGTGGAACTTCGTAGGGAGGTCGTGAAACTCATTTCTGACCAGTGGAATACCAAAGTAGTTCACCTAGGTGTTCCTCGGTTAACTTTTTGTACCCCTAGTTCTATATATATTGTGAATCTAAATCTATATCACCACCAGCCCTTTTACGTCCCCACTGCAGGGGCTCAGGCCTTCCTTATGGATGGTTAAGGAGGATGGGCCATGACCCTCCACGCTGGCCCAATGCGGATTGGAGGGTATTAACGACTGCAAATGCAGCCGGGACCAACGGCTTAACGTGCCTTCCGAAGCACGGAGTAGCTCGAGATAATAATTTTTTGGTCACCCATCCTGTGACCGACCCTTGCGAAAGTTGCTTAACGACTACGATCGCGGGCCGCGGCGCTTATCCACTACGCCACCAAGCTACTATATATAAATCTATATATAAATCTCTAAATCTATATATATAGTCTGTATCTTTCAGGTAAGATAGCAGATTTTAAATTATAAACATTTAAAATTAAATCGTTAATACACTACACTTTATATAAAGCAGAGTCCATAAGAGTAAGAGTTAAACACTGGATTTTGGATCCAAAAGGAAACGCTTAAGAATTCGGCGTGAATGTATATGCATATAAACATAGCCATAGCTATAAAAGTATCTGCGTGTAATACTAACCCTTTGTAAATTCGTAAGGTGTCTTTTCCATGATAAATACTTTGCATATTGTGGACCAAGGCCTGACATGAAGTAGTAAAAGTACATGATGACATGAATCATAGAGTTAATAGTCATGAAATAAAGACAAGTAACGCTGTGACTATAACGAAATAATATGTAAGATCCAATGATTCCCGAAGTGTGATGGTACAGATGAAGGAATGACACTTGCTTGTATTTCTTCCTTAAGACGAAAAAAATTGTATCTAAGAGCTCAGTGACTTTTGCCAGAAAATAAGTATACGTGTAGTATGATATCTGGAAAACAAAATTAATTGGTTCATTATTTATTTTGAGGGGTTCAAAATCTGGGATATCTTTATTTTTTGCCGAAATAATCATGTAAGATGTTTTGGACGTATTTCCTGTCAATAGGTTACACTTAAACCATTCGTTTACGATATCTAGATCTTCTTGCGCTTCGAGAATTATTTCATGAATAGATTTACCAAAATAAAACAGACATGTATCGTCAGCATATAATGTTAGGTGAACAGTAAGACCAATTTTATTTATTTTATTTACATAAATTAGAAACCGTATCGGACAGAGGATGGAATCCTGTGGTATGCCGTATGTGACATCTTTGGTAGAGCTTGCGAATTCAGAAACTTTAACAACCTGACACCTATTTTGCAAGTAAAATTTGAATATATTTAGAGCTGTGAAATTTATGCCTATATTTTTTAATTTTACGAGTAATTTTGACTTACGAGATCGAAAGCTTTTTTCAGATCGGTAAATATTCCCAAAGTAATATTTTTTTGTCAATATGAGTTTTTATTTTGGTTATTAAATCTATAGTAGCTGTGAGTGTACTCGATTTCGACCGTAAAGCCGTATTGTTGGTCAATTAATAGCTTTTTCTAAGATAGATAGTCGTTAAGCTGATCAAACAAAATTCTCTCAAATATTTTTGATATGACGGGCAAGACCGATATTGGCCTGTATTTCCCGGGTCAGTTTTGATTCCAGATTTATATATGGGACTAACTTTAGCTACTTTAAGTGATTACGGGAAGATTCCAGATTTCAAGCATTTGGAAATTGAGTGTACTAACTTTTCTATAATGACATTTTTTAGACATTTGATTACTTTAGTGGAAATATTGTCTAACTCAGTGCTGGTGTTAGTGTCTAGGTCATCTATTATTTATTTACCTTATCTCGAAATTTCGGGTCAAATATAGGACATGCTTTTGGTAAGACACCCGTTTCTAACAATATTTCTAAACCCTGAAAAATAAAAATGTGTTTTTTTATAATGAAGTGTTTTGAATGGAAAGTAATTAATGAATGAATATACAAACATATAAATTTACTAGCTGCTTTTCTGTGACTTAGCTAAAGTACTATCTACGAATATCTAAAGCCCAATATTATTAGTGCAAAGTCTTCCTCACACACCATTGGTGACAAATATATAACAATATCAAACTTCAGGTATATACAATGGCAATATGCAAGTAGTTGAGATTCAATTAAAATGCGGTCATTACGTAAAAATTGGCAGAATTTGCCTGCAGGTGTAGATGTTAAACTGCGTCTAATGACGCTTGACGTAAAACAACCGGAAAATTGAATTACATGATGCAATTGAAAGCGCATTAGTGAAGATTGCTTTAAACCAATTACGAAAATTTCTCTTACCAAATATGTAAGATAAGTTGATATTATGACTTGCAGTATATTGTATATTGATAATATACTCTTTAACTTGAATCCTTCTCTATCTTTCATAGTACTAGGACCCACATACAAAACAAATACTAAGTAAGTAATGAGAATTAGTGCCAATGTGCCTGACGCATCATAAAATGGATAATTTTTGATGTCATCGTCTGTAAATAAAAAAAAAGATGCTAATTTACATCATAACGTACATGATATAAATAAATACATATAAGAGAACATAACATACATTGCTCAGATTCCAAGATGAGTGACTAAAGCCACATAATGCGCCAGTATCATAGAGTATCTGAGCGAACTAAGGTAGCGATATACGCAGACCAGGGTTTTGAGTAAAAGTTTATTTTCTAATCCGGGACCTCAGTGGTGGTGACATCTTGAAACCAGCGTACGGACCACTTGGCTAAGAAGTAGTAAATAGAAATAATAATGGAGCTAGCGCGCTAGGTTTACGATACGATGCGTGACCAAAAGTGTATCATCTTAAGCTTCGGAAAGACTGCCTGCAGTGGTTAATACCCACCAATCCGCACTGGGTCCGTGTGGTATTTCATTGCCCATTCCCCTATTCGATTTGATTCGTGTCCGTTTTGGCTGGTGATGATTTATTTGACACTTTTACTTACAGTGACTAAACCAGACGTAAGTAGACTCTTCTGGTGGAGTATAATCAGCCATTTTTTTTTAGTGACGACTTTTCATTAGCGCCGACCTTGCGAGAACCTCTAATGGTGCGAGAAAAGATATTTTTAGCTACTAGACTAGTTAAAATAACATAATGCAGGCTCTGTGGCAAATGTTCCAGAAATCTCCCTCATCCCATAAGAACAGATGCTATCGACGTATAAAAATGATACTTAGGTACTTTAGCACAGATTTATATTATTAACCTAACAAATACGAGAAAAACGGGAATAATTCGATATAAGCCTGGAATATTTTTAATCAAGTTTATGAGCCAATTACAAGAGACTATATTTAAGAATCCATCTTATTTTAGCTACGGAAGGTTACACCTTCAAAAACATCAAGTCAAAAAACCTGATTTCCTTCACGCAAAATTACTAACACAACTTTTTTCACTAATTTTGGTATATTTATCATAACGTTAATGAAAATTACTGAAATCCAACTAAAAAATTTACAGGAAATAGTGATTTTTATTAAACTTTATATTTTAATTTTGTTGAAGTAGTGGTTTAATATGATAAAACTTTATTTAAAGTATTTCTGAGTGGATTTTAATGATTTTTAGTAGTGTTTAACTCAAAAGTCTGCTGAATATATTGCGTTTTACTTCATAAATAATTATAAGGCTATTGGTATGCAATATTCCCATGGAAATTTTCATTGGATTCAAAAGTAATATCGATTGAAGTCGTATTTCATTATAAATATTATTGATTTTTTACAAACATTTTTTAAATATTTATTGTCCGTGTTTTTATAAAAATATGAGTTTCCAAATATAATATTAGGAAGATTTATGTATTTCATGGAATTAACATAATTTACAGCGTGAAAATACGTAGTAGTCACTTTATATGTATTTTGCTTATCGTGTCATTGAGAAATTAAAGGAATTTTATTTTTTTTACTAATAACCCAAAAGAAAATGTCGATGGATTTATTCATATATTAAAAAGGAAATATATATACGCTCATAATAAAAAAACAGCTGTTATGATTTAATGTTTGATCTCCATACTGAAAGTTGATATTTGTATCAGGCTATATGTAAATAAACCAGGAACTCAGAAGCGATGATATTAATAAGATGATGCTATAAACATGTTAAAGTAACTTACCTTAGAACGCTACTTAATATCTCATAGTGCGAGCAAGTACACTCAGTTGAAGGCTATGTAACCTCACAGACACAACGTAGGTACTATTTGGCGTCATAAGTACATGTAATGCTCTGTAATCATTGTTGAACTATGGTCCCGAATGGCATGGAAACATGAAAACGTTTAAGGTACATACTTACTGATTAATATTAAAAAAAGACACAAAAGCGTGTTTACAATGTACTAGCTTCCCGCCAGCGGCTTCGCCCGAGTTATTTTTCATTGCTATTCCACTTCTATTAATCAAGGCGTCACAAGAAACAACAACAATTTTAAGATAATATTCTAAGTGATTCTATATTTATTTTAAGAGTAATTACTTGTGTTAGTTAACAGTTTGTTTTCTGTGCTGTGTTTAAATAATTTCTTGATAAAAGATTGAATTTTAATACGCTAATAAATCATAAAGGTACTAGATAAAAGATAGAATTTTAATACGCTGTTAAATCATAAAGGTTCGTCTGTTAAAATCATTCTAAATTATTATTATTATTACTTATAAACTACGGAATGTAACAATTTTTTTACAATTAATTTATTTAATTTAATGTGAAAATAATTATTTCATTATTCGGTCATACGATGGGTACGCCATCTAGCGTCAGACTTTCTGATGTTATTAGTAAGTTTAATTGTTTTATTTTGAATTCGAGAGAAATAAAACTTGCAATATTGTTTTAAAAATGTGATTAATTTAATAATGAATTTTCACACAAATATTTTATTTTGACATATGGTTGTGCGAACATATGAGTGCAATTTTATTGATTTTTTAATTGTTTAGTGGATTAATTAAGTTGATTTGTGAGGTAATCAAATTAATTGCTATAAAGTGGATTATCATTTGTAACATTAAGAGTGATCCTGTTGATAGTAATGGTGACGTCATGGCTGACGTCAGCGTGGCCGCTGATGTCACTATTTCTAAGGACTCGAGAGAGGTTCATGTGCGGTTATATAATTTGTGGTGAGTACTAAACATAAGGTCATCTATATTAGAATGTGAAGCAGATTTTAGGCACGTTTAAAACATTTGTTTGCATTTTACAAATTTAATGCAAAATTGATAAATATTAGGTCCTAAATTATGAAATCGATATTACAGTAATCAGTCGATTGCGACCTCCCTTTTTTAGACAAGTATGTGTGACGTGTTTCTGCGCAGACTGTTTTGTAACTTTGGCGGCGATTTTGTATTATCTTCTGTATTATGGGGAGCATAATAGAGGTCCGTAGAGAAATACCGGATTCTCTGGATTAATTAGAATTAGACTTAAATATAAATGAAGTCTTAATTATAAGGGGTAGAATTAAGTCGGGACATTGGGAGGAAACAATGTCACATCTGGGTTATATGGCATAAGAGAATATTGCTGTAATTATCTTATTGTCGATGTACACTAGGATGCTGTACTCATATAATGACCATAGTTTGATATCTTGCTTGGATAGGCCCAGGGCTGCCATTGCGAAATTTTAAGTTGCCGTGTTTTGGAATCTGGATTGCCGTGTTTTAGAATAAAAACTACAAAATTGCCGTGTATACATTTTTATTTATTATAAATTGAAAATTAAGGTAAAATATGACATAAAAAACTGTATTACTATAACTATAATTATTCTTCACCGTCATCATACAAATTACTTAATGTATCCAAAATTTCGTATTCGTCTTTGTTAAATATATATTTATTTTTATCCTTCATATTGTCAATCATTTGCTTATTTAATTTGAAATTAACACAATTTCCTTGAGATCGAATAAAATGCTTTTCTAGTAGCGTTCCATTTATTGTGGAAGTAATAATTTTATTTCTTGTTTTTGTTTTTTTTGTTATTAAATATTAAATGTACCTCACTGAAAATTCTTTCAGTCTGCATTTGCGTGTAGAACGCAAAGGACGAAACCGGTTAAATTTTCGCAACCAAGTTCAGGTTGCGTTAAAACTTTTGACCAAAAGTTATTCGTCTTTTCACTTAATGTATATGTACTTTTCAAAATATGAATGTAAGGACGAAGCGAGCGCGAAACTGTGTCAATTAATCGTCGCGATTTCCCCGCTCATAGAGTCAAGACTGCGTCTAGTGTAGTCTAATGATGTGCCATAAAAGCACTTATAGACTATCGAGAAACTAATTGAAAAAAAAAATTGTTACCATTGGATTGCCGTGTTTTAGAACACAGCAATGAACATACTGCCGTATACCATGTTTTTATTGCTGACTTTACCGTGCCGTGCCGAAAAAAAAAATTGTTACCATTGGATTGCCGTGTTTTAGAACACAGCAATGAACATACTGCCGTATACCATGTTTTTATTGCTGACTTTACCCAAATTGCCGTATAACACGGCAATTGTGTAAATGGCAATGCTGGATAGGCCAGACACGAACAGAATGTAGCTGCTTCTGCAGCGTTCCGTGATGAGGTATTCATTAGAGTTGTAATAAAGAAAATAAAAATCAACATGTTGTTTTGCTATACTATATTTTCACTACTACTTTATATACGGAGGATGTTTGGGAGGTAGATTTGCGTGGGCATAATATCATAGGCTCTGTATATTTTTGTTATAAAAAATATATATTATCAAACTATTAAGTATAAACAGTGATCAAAAATAGTGTATAACGTCACTATAATGTCAACAATTAATTAATCAATATGAACCCAAAATAAGCAAAAAAAATATAGTGTGAAAATAGTGACAGTGAAAAACCGTTAAGAAAAATAAAAGAATCTGTACAAAACCTTGTGATTGAAGAAAATTTAGATAACAGTGAATTATTAAAAACCTATTAAAAGAAAACCATCGAAGAAAAGATCCAATAACATAAAATTATTTAAAGTTAACCACATTATAACCTCAAAACATAAATAAATCACTACAATTTAAATCAAGTGTCGCCATCTGTTGGTAGTATGTGAAACTCGATGTACATCACCAAACTTAATTAGTAATTACGAGCATATCCTAAAGCAACTGTCACCTTGATAATATACTGTGAATTACTGTAGAGGGCGTAACGTAAACCACAACTGTAATGTCGACCAATAATAATTATTGCGCTGGATGTAAACAAAAACTCCATAAGCGAGAACACCTAACGTGTAAACAATGCAAAAACACATACGACTTAGAATGTGCAAATGTGAGCCCTCAGCATTTTTATAACACAATGACGCAAGAAATAAAAAATGCATGGAAGTGTCAGGCATGTTATTGTAAGCAGCCTAAAAAGGATAACACGAACACACCAATACGTACTCGAGAAAATGAATTACCCAAAGCTGATATCTCTCAGCCTCATAGTAATGTAACAATAAGAAGAACACAAAATAAACAACATAACGACACAACCAACTCAGAGAATATTGATCTACTAGGCGACACAGTTAACACACAGACCTCTCCAAGTTCATATGTAAATCTTAAAGAAATTTCAATACAAACAATTAGCGATATAATCCAACAAAAATTAAAAGAAAATAATAAATCACTAATTAAGGAAATACAAAGTACAATTAAGTCTGAAATTAACAAAGCGATTATGTTAGCAAAATAAGAAATAAAACAAGAAACAGATTCCCTAAACTATCAAAATAAACTAAGACAAGATTAAATAGAACAAATTAACTTAAAAATAGAGACTATTATAAAAGAAAATGAAAAATTGAGAGAAGAAATAAATTTTATTTATGAGAAAATGGAAAACAAATATGAAAAATTTACAGAAACCAATTCTAAGAAAATTTTACTCTATGATCTCCCAGAACATCATAATGAAAATGACATCACCTTATGTAACAGGATTGTCCATATCTTTCAAGACATTATGAATGTGGATCTAACTGGCTACATGATACATATAGACTTGGCAGATATCAAAATTCAACTAGACCCCTTGTTGTAGAATTAATAAGCAAGAAGATGACTAAATACCTTATAAACCATAGACATTTATTTCAGGAAACTGGATTAGTCATTTCCAAATATTATGATGTATCTACACGTAATTAAAACAAATTGATGAAAGAAGAAATGTTCTGAGCACGTCAAAAAGGATTATACGCTATAATTAAAAATAATAACCTCTATGTGGAAGGAGAAAAAATAATATTAACAAATAGACAGGAAAACACTACTACCAATAATAAGAATATAGAAAATAAGGAACTGAACAATGAATTTTAACAACAAAAAACTTAGAAAAATATAGAGTTCAATTAAAATCAATTGATTGGATGAATTTATTTGATATTAATGAAAATGTAAACTATAACTATAATATATTTCATAAATCATTAAATTATATTTTAGGTAATTGCGTACCAAAACAATCCATAAAAATAAATAATACATATAAAAATATTGGCTAACCAAGAGTATAAAAAAATCATGCTATAATAAGAGATTGCTAAAATCTCATTTACACTGTCAAAAACGCTAAAGGTCTTCCAGTGCTTCATCCATCCAAAAACTCAATGGTTTTAAGGCAAGTAGAGATGAAAGAAATATTCAATATACTGAAAAATTTAAAATGCAAATTGAGTCATGGCGTGGATGAACTTCCACAAATGTTATTTAAATATTGTACAAAAGAATTAACATATCCACCAACGCTACTGATTAACCAATCTTTTGAAGAAGGAGTATTCCCAGATTTACTTAAACATTCTCTCATTAAACCAATACAAAAAAAAAATTACAAACAGATCCAAATAACTACCGACCAATTGCTTTATTACCCGCTTCATCAAAAATATTTGAAAAGGCTATGTACAATCTTTACAAATTTTATGAAAAATATGAGATTTTTAGCGAATGTCAAAATGGGTTCCGTGAAAATAAATCGACAATTTTAGCTATATATAAATACATTCAGGAAATACATAATATAATTAATAGTAAAAAATATGCCATTGGAATATATACTCGATATGTCATTATGATACAGGAATTCGTGGTACATGCTATAATTGGTTTAAATCATATCTTAACAATAGAAAACAGACAGTACAGATTGAATTTTTAATGATAA